GCGATAACTGTTTCTACTCCTACTTGAATTTCTCCCTTTCAATCCCATTTCTGTTCCTTATGCTTCTCCACATGCTAACCATACCCACAGCGTTACTCTGAACTTGGAAATTGCTACTGTTACCAAATTTCACTTTGCCAGCACTTCAGAGGAATGTCCCACACCTGACTGTTCTCAAGTGAAAAATGATTCATATTTGTGCTCATTCAGCTGAAATTTGCTTATGTGCACTTTTCTGTGCTGTTTCAATATAAACCAGTGTGTGTGTGTGTCCCACTAGCTCTCCAATAGACCAAACCATTCATAATTTCAACATGAGTCTGCATCAGTGTTGTAGTTGATACCATCACAAGACCAGACACAAAACCACGCACAAGTAACGGGGTGAACAATGACAAAGGAATGCTTTTGTTGCACTTCATTTGAATAGCTTGTGACTTCAATTCAGACTGGAGGTCTTGTGTGGTCTTGTGGTCTCGACTACGACACTGGGCCCAATTTCACGGGGCTGCTTACCAAGCAAGCCAAACATCGACACATACTGTAGCAGAAAATTCTGTGCTTAAGGCAAACTCATTTCACGGGTTAGCAAGGAATTTAGGCTTGTGCGCATGCGTACATCCTGTTACTAAGGATTCTGTGCTTAAAGGGTTTGCGCAGAATTTTTCTGCTGGCGCGGTTAGCACAGAATGGAGATCGCAAGCACAGAATTCTGCAGTAAGCAGCGCCATGAAATTGAGCCCTGGTCTCTACCCTTTATAATCTGCATGCAAGTCCTGATCCTAGAAATGCCAAAACTTTCCCAACACCATTCTGCCATGCAAGGGTGTTTCTTATAAGATACATCTACACATAAGAGTATTTACAATAGAAAATCTTCCTGATTATCCAGCTCATCAAAAATATTCTCTGTGGAAGTCTGAAGTACCAGGTTTAGAGTAACCATGATTCTCCCAAAAGCTTAAAATATTCTAGAGACCACAAAACAGTCTCTGGATTAAGACATTGGAGCAGATTTGCAGTGAGCCCTTTGCAAGTTTAATTTGAATGGAATCTGATACATTGAGTTCTTTAAATTCACGAGGTACAGCAATAGTGTCTTAAGTCTGGGGAATTCAAATTATCTTTATGTGCAATCAGATAATGCTGTATCAGGATTTTATTCAAATTTAACCCTGACAGCCCTCAATCCTTCACCTGTTGGAGGATTGAGGACTGCTAGGGTTAACTTGCAAAAGGCTTATTGTGGCCAACAGTGCAAGACTGACAACCTAATGGCTTTACACTGCAGACAGGCAATGACCTTCCAGCATTAAATCTGATTGGTTGTGCGTGTACATGTACTGTGATCTATAATCCTAGCAGAGAGGTAGCAATCAGACTGTGATGTGCGGTATCATTGGAATAGGAAGTAATGAAAGCTTCAACACAGCTCTAGTTGTAGCTTTCTTCAAAACTAAAACAACTGAAGACAGACCGGCCGTTTAATTTTTTTTTTAATATGCATGCACAAAAGTTAACAGCACTCTGCCAATTTTGTAACAAATCAACATTGACAGAAACCAATAGAGTTGATGGTTTCAATTCTTTTTCCAATATACCTTAAAAATAAAGTGCATGCTTTCCAATGGGTATGATTATGTACATGTAAATTACCCTCGTGCATAAACATAGAATATAGACACATACATGTATATTATGTAAATGTACCGATAAACAATATTTAATACAATTTGTTAAAGATGTTAAATCTACGATAAATTATGGCATAAAAGCATTCTTTATACATACAAAAATGTCCTTGCAGTTCCATCTCCAGCATGGGCCACAGTAATCAAAAATTGTTAACTTACCATCAATGGGAATACTGTAAACACATGTCTTGTATAGAGAAAAGTGAAACAGTTTACACATACTGTAGGTTTGTCCAAGGCCTCCATTAGACTTCAAACCAATCGGTCTTGAATCAGTCACATACATGTAAGAACTCTGACTTCACTACAGTGCTATCACCAGGCTCTTCTCAGAGAATGCCATATTTGTTGATATTTGATACATACATGTACGAAAGGTCACGTGACTAAGTGACCTTCCCACAAACTGGACAAAACAAGGTGGCAGTTGCACCCCCCAGCTACACCCCAACCTTACTTCTTTGAATACATTATTATCTTCTCTGAAGAATTAATTAATAGTGAAATGTCCAACAGTGGCAGCAATGCTGAGCATTTTACAAAGCACCATGCCACTGAAATTACAAGGAACTATCAGTTAAGCTTGTCATTATTACATAAAGCTTCTTTCATTTCTTTTAAGTTCACCCTTGCAGACAACCTTTTGGGTCGAAGTAAATGTGCTGGAATACTGAACTTTCTAAATCTTAATAATTTCCGACTTGGGTGAAGAGGCATGAAAATGTTTGTGTGGAAAGACATGAAAAACTTTCTCCACTTGTGTGAAAATCTTTTCCCACTTATATGTATGTTAAAATCTAAGGAGAGCCTTTCCCACTTGAAATGAAAACAAATTCCCTAGGAAGAGCGAAAGTTCCAAGATCATTTCCCATAACCAGGTTAAGTTTCAACTCAAATGTACATGTACCATGTAAATGTATCAAGACATCAAACTAAGAGAGCTTCAGAATGAACTTGTGAACAGACTCCTGGACATATTTAGAGCCTTTTATCAAAGCCCTCCTGATGATGACTGTGCTGACTCGGTGTCTTGGTCCATCTGAACTATGTCCACCTAAATGCCCAAGATCTCACACAGGTCATCTGCAGTACATTTGTCTACCCCTCTGATTGTCTCTGGGAGCCAGGAGAACTCTCGCACTTCAGTTTCATTGGATGGAGTGCAGTGAGCAACTGCAAAGTAAAGACATACATGTACAGGTATGGCCGTTAACTTGGTAGGAAGAATGTTTTGGCCTAGGCTATGTAGAGTGCCAAAGAGCTCTATGTCTGGGTGACTGCAGGTGATACATGCTGGGACATGTGACTTGGAAGTAATCACTACCGCTGAAGGTGGTAATGGTGAATGTTTGGAATTAACGTCAGGGCAGCTTTATATTTTTACCAATTTAGTTGGGGAGTGCTGGACTGTGACAATGCCTAGATTCCGAGTGACATCAAAAATTTACCAGGGCCAAGGATAGTTATGGGAGGACTTTGGTCACCGTGCAGGGTGGAAATGGAAATGTTCAAAGAAGCATTACCAGCCGCATGTTTTACTTACAAGAAAGGCTGCAGTGAAGGTATTTTTAATAAGCATGCTAGAAAATACATTTTTTTTTTTGGATTTTGTCACATTACATGAAAGATGATTTATTCAATCCAATTTGACATTTTATCCTAACAATTGGAAACTGATTCAAATCTGAAAGAGTCACGTTCAATCCAATCTGATCTAAGGTCGCATTCAGGTCAGACTGGATTTGGGATTGAAAGTGCACATTCAATACAGAATGTACATGTACCATGCTGTAAATCGAGGCACCAAAACACCCTTTCAAGTAGCAAAGTACATGTACAAACTGAACATGAGGTTCATTGAGACACAGGTGGATTTTCAAGTGTTGCATTTAAAAACAAATGTACTGCATAAACCCTTCAAAACATGGTCATAACTGCTTACATTTCTCCTCTAAGCTTTGGACGGTTTTGTTCATCTTTTCCCGGTTGCTTGCTGCTGCTGAACGATGTTCGACAATCGGCATTGGGTAGTCCTTACCAATGATACAACCAACCTTCTCTTGGACAGCTAAGGGAGCTTTCCAAGGCTCAAAGAGATATCTCAATGGCATGTTGGCTAATACTGGCAAAAATTTCCTACAAAATCAACATTTACAACAAATACCATTCTTTATGTCATGTTGTGAAAATGACCCTTATGATAAAAAACTGTACTGATAAAAAATCCCCCCCCATGATGCTAGATTTATTTCTATTTCAGGAAGAAATAGTTTAGAAGTTAAAAATTTGATTTATCATGGCAATATAAAAATTACCAATTTACAATGAATTTCATCATAATATCAAAAGCTGATATACAGCATCAAAAGGAGATCCACCTTGGACTCATCCCCAAAAACACTGCAACCTTACAAATTGTTTCATAATCAGATCACTTGATTAAACAAACACAAATGCCCCACTAAGCCCATGCCTAAATACACACAACTTCATTAATTTCTGATCACAAGCCAAATTTGTAGTAACTCTTTTAGAAATTGAGACCTTTACCCTTGACCTTTCGGGCTTACATACAATAGGCTTGTGATATTACCCAAAGGAATGCATAAGCCAAATTTTATGTTCCTATGCAAAGTATTTCTCAAGTAATCATGCTATATACATTTCTATTGTTCTGTGACCTTTACCTTTGACCTTTCAGATCCAAAAGGCTTCCTGGGATTGTTAAGACCAATTTACAAACCAAATTGAAAGTTCATACACAAAGTATGTCTCAAGTTATCACACTGACAGGATTTCTGTTGTTTTAGCAATTGTGACCTTGATCAAGTGTAATACGCTTCGTAGGATCACCAGGAGCAATCCACAATCAAATCTGAACTTCATGAACAAATCCCTTGGATTTCACAGGCCGGGCATAAAAATGGCTCCAGCCAAACCCAACTTAAACATAACACTTTGAAAATGAAGGAAAGCTGACCAGTGACCTGAAACAAGTAGGAATTCTGCTGACCTTCTGGCACTACAGACTCCAATCATTCTCACCTGACATACTCTCCATTGGGATCCATGCGACGTCCGTAACGTACCGGGCAGAAACAGTTAGGACACTGCAAGACCTTCTCAAAGGCAGAACTGGAGATCCACATCCAATTCCCAGCACAGATGCTCCAATCGGCATCGAGGAGATACTGATAGAAAACCTGATGGAAGGTGAGAAATATGAGAAGGGACGTCGTGTTGGGAAGAAATGCTACAGAAGCAATGACTGGTTGGATTATTCAACAGCCTCGTTTGGGATAAGCAATACAAGGGACAGGGTTTCCTTTCAAGCTGATCAAGTAGAAATACACGTATGCACATTTACTCTTAGAGGATGAACAAAACAGACAACATCGTGATAACAACTGTGGTACAGAACACAAACCAAAGTAAGTTGATGCACAATTCACAGCCAGCTGTGTCAACACAGGACTGCAAACAGACAACACACTGTTTCACCATGAGTCCTTCCTCTCAGCTAATATCTTCTTGTCAGGTAGCAGGCTACAACGTGCTACAATCTCACTAACAGACAATCATGCGAATAGTCCAACACACTGCTTCACCTTGAGTCCTTCCTCCCAGCTAATCCACAGATCTCCTCTGGTCAGGAAGCAGGCCACAGCATGCCTGGCGACTTGGTGAATCCATCCTTCAATCTTTAACTGTTTCATGCAAGCATCAATCCAGGGATAGCCTGTTTCACCCTTTACAAAGATACCAGACATCACATTTAATCACTCCTCTCTTAATAATAATATGTAATAAAATAATAAACTACATACGTAATACAGCTTTTTTACCACCTTTTCTATGAGGAGCTACTATGAAAGAAATTATGCTTCTTTCACCGTTCTGCCAAATTCTGTCAAAGATAGACTTAGTACAACACAAGAAATGTGCTGTTTAAGACTTAAAGGTTTTCATGGTGAAAGAGACTAGATTTATAGTAAAGATTGCGGTAACACCATGTATTTATCTCTTCTTTGAGTATGTGTGGTTTGCTTTCCACAGTTACTTGTTTCAAACATCACATTTGAATTAGTGACTTAATCTTCATTATCCAAGGGGTATCAAAAAGTTCACAAAGAGTGACTTCAGGCCAAATAAACCAACTCTCCACTCGCCTCTATCCATTTCTCAAGCTTCTCCTTGTCTTGATTCCAATCAATTTTCAGACAGATGTTGTTCCCATTCATGCGATCAAAGTTCTTGTTACCAACCGACATGGTATAGAAATACTCCCTCCAGATGAGTTGTGCAGTCAGGTGTGATGGAGAGATGGCGTTGTTCAGCTGTTGCAAAATAAAAGATGGAATCAAGTGAGGATTTTTACATGCACGTTGGTGTCTTCAGTGAAAAGATTCTTCATGAGAAAGGATGGTTTTACGATGCATAACTGCACCAAGTCATTCGCACATGTTGGTCATGTTTGTATCAGTTCTGGCTTCCTCACAATGATCTGTGCAATTAGTAACTTCAATGTTGTCAGTCTTAATTGGGACTGTTGGACATGTGAGAGTTGTCGCTTGATGAGGGGGGGGGGGCTTGATGATTATCACGACTATACAAGTTTACCGGTGGATCACACAAAGTGTACAGCCATAATATCCAATTGAATACTCGGGACCTAATTACATATGCATATACCTCTGTGTATGTGTCATGGATTCGCCAGTAGAATTTCCTGACAGACAAACAACCAAACCTCAAGTATGGACTCAAGCTCATGGGTGGGCCTAACAGCTCTGGCATGTACTGGTTAGGCAAGCAGTAACCAGCTTTGAAAGCCTGTAACAACACAAATTGAACAAATGCAAAATACATGGTTTAATTTGATCTGCAGCCAAATCAACAGAAATAGTTTTTGTTATCTCCATCATGCTCACTTCACTCCTACATATAACAAGTCAGAAACAATTCACATGGCCATTTGTTTTTGCCTAAGCTAGCCAGTGCAATAGCAGAGTTTTCCTGCACTTCTAGCCACCAGAAGTAGAAACAATTACTACACTCAAGCATGTCACATGAATATGAAAAACAGCCCTTCACCCAGAAGGGTAGTCACAACCAAAACTGTTTATAGAGAGAGTAGCGAAACTTTCACACTTTGGAACCAAAATGGCTGTTCATTATGCCCGCAGTACGGCATGCAGCTATTGTGTGCTAATTGTCCATGTGCACTGAAGCATAATCGCACAATTTTGGTTCCAACGATTGAGACACTCATGTCATAACTCTCTCTATAAACAGCTCTGGTTACAACTCACAGGTACCAAAATGCTTGCATGCCTCTAGATTAACAGTTTTGTGCCAGACAACATGTTACCGCGCAGAAACTTCTTAAGGTGAATTCTGTATGCAGTAGTGGGTGGCATCTACATGTACATACATGTATCTCCATGCGCAAGTGATTCAAGCCGTGTTTGTACAAAGAATGCAGAGGTTGGAGGTTGGCATGCATGTATACGGCGCCCTCAAGCAGTCTTGGGCCATGTCATCATTGCAAACATCACTCCACGACACTGTCTTGGAGTTTCAGCACAGTCTGTATAGGTACATGCATAAGCAGCATGACAAATGAAGATAGCCATGTACCGTAGACCAGCCACCTTGAGGTGCATCAGGGGATGTTTTATCTCACATAAGACATGAAACATACATGCATGCTCAAGTGAGATGCTACCTCAGTAATGGTTTGTCACATGAATAATTGCCAGACAGACTAATGACTTACAGCAGCTTCTTTGCGAACTCGAACTTCAAACAGTTCCAGAGCTCTTGTCTCTCCTCCAATCCAAAGCTGTCGCTCTTGATCAGGATGTTCCATCTTTGGACCTTGAAATGAAGCAACACCTACATGTAGTCAATGCATTTTTAAGGGGGTTATAAGCCTTCAACTTGACCTTTTGACACCCAGTCTTTATATCTCTTTTATAATTCCCCACAATGTACAAAATAAAGACGTTTTAGTCGATTTCTTACTCAGTTAAAGGAACCATGCACTTAAATTTTTTAGAATCTTTTTGTGTGTGTGTATGTCTTTACCCTTCTTCAGGGTATGAAGACTGTATGGAATCTTTTTCAGAGTTGCGAGAACTGAAAAGTGCACTTTTTAAACATCCACCTTTGACCAAACATATGCAGACAAGTGAGGGCGCTGTGCCTTGACGTAAATCCAGGAAGACACTGCTCAGTTTGCACGTTTTTATATTAAAATAGTGAACTCAAAATTTGCTACATGAAAACATTTTTGAAAAAACAAGGTTGCTCCCCAACTTTTTGCCATATACTTACACAACAATAAACAGCCAAAAGAAATGAAATCCATGGTAACAGTGCTTTAAAAAAATGTAGACATTCTTTACGCACAAATCAGTGGAACATTGAGATTCGGTGCCTTGGATAGCATCATACTTTTACTCATGAATATGCAAATGGAATTAGCATCAAAACAGAAAAGCTCCAAAATCTGGTTAAAATAGTAAAACAATAATTTACAATAAGGTTAATTGAAACCCAAAGGTGCAATTTCAAGGCTTTTTACTAAAACTTGATAAAACATTCTATTACACTGTACAAGGTCCATCTATTTATAGAACCTGTCCCAGCTGTACTACGTGTCAAATAATGCATAAACCCTCATGTTACATGAAACAATCCCGCACTCATCAAAGATTTCCGAACAAGATGACCCAAAGCCAACAAATACAAAAACCACAACCACATGTAAGATTGATAATTTCTTTTAGCTGCTTCAGGTCTGGAATATGCACACGTGTATCCAGAATGCAGGGGCCGCTAAAAGCAATCACAGCCTGTCAGTAATCAAGGTGTCAAGGGCACCATCTTTCCTTCTTGGCATATAATAACTGCAATTTGTGTTTACAACGAAAAATTAACAAGTCATAAATGCATGTACCTAGGATAGTTTAGCTATTTCTACTGGTTGACAGTCTGCCATGTGGCTGGTCTTTAAATAGTTGATTTAAATGCCAGCCAGCAACAAACGTGGCCCTTGAAAAGTTACCGGTACCTGAACATTCAGGTACATAATTTTTCTACATTACAGTTCAGTTTGTGTCATTTCATTTGACAACGAGTGTGGACATGAAAAACACATGTATACAGAATTGCAAAGCAACAAAGTTAACATGCAAATATTTTCAGTTGTATTTTGCTGAATTATACAAAAAGGTATTTATAAATTGGAATGCACATGTGCCTGTCCGGTCTTCAACAAATACCGTATGTTTAAGGCCTGCTTTCAAAGCCAAGCCCATCTTAAACATAGGCAAATTTAATCAAAGATCACTAGTCAACTAGTGGTTGGTTCATGACGTACATATGCACCTGGTGCATGTGCAGTGAAGTTGAAATGTGAATGACCCTAGTCAACCGCTGTCAGGTCATTAGGCCAAAGGTGGCTGCAGGAAGGACAAAATAACAAAATTAAAAGTGAAAATGGTCATTTACGAGTGACGCACTGTTTTTCCAGCATTTTTCTAATATACTGGTCCTCTCTGCACTGTGCCATTAAAAATGGTTTATGGCAACCATCATTGTGACCAACCTCGATAGGCTGGTCGCGAATAGTTGACTAGACTGGTCCAACCACTGTCAACAAGAGTGCCTTCAATCAGACTTAGAACTATGGTTAAATGGTCTTTGATCCAACTTTCTCATACTTGGTCAAGACACAATCACACATCTATTCCCTTTACACAAAAGTCTATTTTAATTCACCTCCACGTACCTATGTCTTGAAAGCGAGGGAGTGCAAACTGACCAAAGTTGTCACAGATTGGCAAGTTGACTAAGCTAAAGTCTGGCTCCTTTTCAGGTCGCTGTGGAAGACCAATCATGGAGACTACCTCTTGAAACATGGCGTAGGTAACCGGTGGAGTGCCACCATTCCTAGCTGTGACTCTGATATGAGTACAACCAAACCAAACAATGTGAATACACAAACCTGTATGCTGTGACAATTCTCCACTTGGAATTTCATCTTACACACAGCATCTTTTTGTCTTGTACATAAGTCTCGAAATTTGTTTTCCTGTTTTATGTGTGTGTGTTGTTGTTGGGGGGGGTGGACGGGGGATGTCTGAGACGGGATAAAGCAAAGACCTCCACAATATATTCTCGTTAAGAATGAACTTATAATGGATTACATATGTTTGAGGATTACATTATTTTCAAGACAAGAAAAATAAATGCCATGGTCGAATATTCAGTACAATGCAAATGAAACAGGGACTGGTAAATTCTATTCACACCTTTTCTCTTCCAAGGGAATTCATTTTCATTTCAAAAGTGTGAAAACGGTTTCCTACAGCGGGAAAATATAGTTTCGCACCTTTTCACACAAGTGGGAAAATATTTTCACCCATTGTCTGATGATGACAGTAAAGTTAGTTGGATATCGGACATTGGACATTCCAATGTACGAATGAACAATGTCTGGAAACAGACAACTTCCCAAACCTATGTCTGATGTGAATGTGAGCCGTGTTCAATTTCAGTTACAACATACAGCTCCTCTGAATTACAATGTACTATACAGCATACATGTAGCATACACCAGTACATGCACCTCCACTGCTCAGTACATGTATCTACATGTAGGTTCATTAACCCTAATAGTCCTGAATCCTCCAATTTTAATATGATTTTTCACACACCCTAGGGGGTTAGGGTTAAAGTGCAGGACTACAACTGAACAAAGAAGTTACAGCAAAACTCACTTGAGCTGAAATGTGTTCAAATTTGGCAAATTTAACGAGTAAATATTTGCTCCAAAGTCATCTAAATTATCAGCAAGGGCAATCTCATTATGATCCCCAAGGGCACTGCAGTATCCTATTCTATTACAATATTTGATATCCCACTCTGGACATCTGACATTAAATTATCAGTCACGACTTACTCATTAGGGTCCCACAGAGTATGGGATACCCTCTCGATGTACTGGATACCACGCTCACTGCAGAGTCGCTTGACAGCATTATCACGGTCTTGCCAAATAGGCTCAGGATCCTGCTCAAAGGTTATCAAATTCACACCCCATTCCTGGTGATAACAGCCAACAAAAGTGCTCTTTTAGAATTCAAGAGGGTGACATGGGAGAAATGATAAACACTCACGCTAAAAACAGCAATGTTTTTCCCACATGAATTGGACAATACCGCAATGGACTTCTCTAAAAAAGCACTCCTTCAAATGAGACCAACTCAGCTCTTTAATAAAAATACAGATCAATGCTGCCATTTCAATATGGAAATTATACAACCCAGAATGTACGTTGGCTGGATTTGTTTCAACGGGGGCGGAACTTTTTCTCAGGAGGGGGCAAAGCACTTACACTGTATCAGTAGCAAATGTGATGTGATCAGCAAAAATCCTTCACATGGTGAGCTTTGTTAGTTGGGTGCATATAAATTCCAAATTAATATGGACACACTCTTGTTTCCAGACACATTACATTTAGGATTCTACATGTAAGTTATCTACAGTATGAATCTAAGTTGTCTAGAATCTTTGAAAACAGAACAGTGTCTAGATCAATTTGAAGTTGATACGTACCAAAATGGCAAAGCTGACCTTGTGAAAGGTTTTCATAGCTCACATCACAAATTGAGAAGCTATTAGCTGTGGAAAAGGATCAACTCCACGGTATAATCAAGCAAGTCGTGATTTCCTTCTTTTTTTTTTTTTTCTTTCTTTTTTTTCTCGTTTTCTTTTTTTTTCTCTTCCTAGGGGTGAGAAAGTGCCCCTTTTCCATCCTATCCTCACAACGCCCACTCAACCAACTCCTCCGAGTACTTCGCACACACCCATACATTATCAATAGACGGAACATTAACAATTGTCTGGATCAAGGATAGGAAAGCCTAGACCTCCCCAAGGACTACAGACATGTACATATACATATAGCTCAGGGCCTGCTAGTTTTGCACAGATCCGGATTGCAATCAGTGATCCCACATTAAACCTGCCTAATGGATGGCTTGAACCAGCCTTGGGATCGTCCATCCAGACCCAGATGGCACCAACAGGCCCTCAAAATCAGCAATCTGTAGAATTGCCACTTAAGTTCTTGACTTCATACAGTACACCAATATATAAGACCCTTGCAAGCACACGATACTACGGCTAAAGAATAGCATAAGCTGGAACTGTATCAGGACAAAGCGACTTTAAAATCTTAATAGATGGTACTATGGCAACAAATAGTGTGAGTACATGTACAGTATAGACACAAGTACTTTACAAGCTATAAGTACATGTACTTACTCCAGGCTTGTAAAAATTCAGACCACAAAATATATTGCTACAGGATCAACATATGAAGGAGGAGTAGAAAGTAGGAAATGATCCTATGATCCACGTTACCATGACTACGCTTTCCCAGATTCATCTATTTATGCCGTAATGATATTCCAACACAAATAGCAAATCTCCCATCCATTAAACATTCATGCAAACCTAAGCTACAGTCAGATATATTTGGCTGTACATGTACATGTATGTTTCTGCCCCCCCATTCTTTTGACAAACACACGTAAATATGTACTTGTACAAGAACATCAAGTTGGACTACCGGCAATTATGCTCATCCCTTTGCAAAAACAGAGCTTCGCCCTACCTCTGAGAGATATTCAATTTGCTTAAATTGCAGTAGGACACTACAGCACACCTTAGCCACTATAAGCTACCCCAGTACCATTTCACCATATTACAGCTTCATGTCACTATTTACTGCATTCTGGAAACTTCACAAGGCTCTAAGGCCACCTGTTGGCATGGGTATCATTTGGTTACTCAATGAATTGGTCTAAGTGTAAACTACTTCGCTAAATTTTTCTGTTCAATTTATTATAAACCACATTGTCAAAATGAATGTTTCCTTCACACAAGGCAAAAGAGATCAGCCAAAGACATCTTAAAAACAAAATTCTGAACAGAATTCCCGGCAAAGAACCTTTTTGACGGGTGAATGTCCTGAAATTACTATTACCTTGGTGGACTTGTTTATCATCAATTAATCCTTTCATTAAAATAAGTATTTTATAAGGAAAATCTGGCTGTTTAATTGACCGAAATTGTAATCAAAAATAGAACAATTAGTGGATTGAAACAATAATTGAAAACTTGCAGGTCTACAAGGTTTCAAGACCAAAACAGCGCTACATGTCATGTATGGGAGTGTACATGTACTTAGTACCCCGCCGGTAGATACACTTTGGTACATGTACATGCAGTGATACATTGTGCATATGAGCAAGTGCAACTCAAGACCTACGTGTTTGTACCTGTATACATGAATGTAACTGGTGACCTAGAAATTAAACATCTATTTAAGGTGCTACTCCAATTTTAAGGGGTGGTGATGAGCCTACATTGTATGCATCTCCACCCTACCGGTACCTTACACCATACCCGGTACAAGCACTGAGGAATCCACCCTACCGGTACCTCACACCATACCCGGTACAAGCACTGAGGAATCCACCTACCGGTACTTCACACCATACCCGGTACAAGCACTGAGGAATCCACCCTACCGGTACTTCACACCATACCCGGTACAAGCACTGAGGAATCCACCCTGCCGGTACCTCACACCGTACCCGGTACAAGCACTGAGGAATCTACCCTGCCGGTACCTCACACCGTACCCGGTACCAGCATGGAGGAATCCATCCTACCGGTACCTCGCACAGTACCCAGTACCAGCATGGAGGAATGACATCACAAAACAGGACTTTTCCACACATTTTTCAAGTAATTGTGGGTGGGTCTTCTAGACCTGCATTAAGGGGACAATTTCTTGTGTTAGGAAACTACGAGTAAGAAAAACATTGTGGGGATGAAATTTGAAATGTGGGGACAAAAATTTATCCGCATCACGTTGTTGGTCCCCATAGCATTACAGTATGTTTCTCAACATGACCGTGTGTGGTTCCCATAACCCAGTGACAAGTACATATATCACATGCACTGTACATGTGCATGTATGTGTGAGTGCATGAACATGTGTATAACATGATGTACATGTATCCTCGACAGAATTTGCTTGATGTTTCAGAGTAAGATTCTCATGTATCCTACCTCAATCAGTTGGTCAAAAATAGTGCAAGGATCTCCCTTGAAGGTATACAATCTCCCACCAACTTCTTTGAGTCTTCTGTCTATGTCTTCCAAGGCTTCATAGAGAAACCGCCATCGATTGAAACCACACACTTTGGTCCCTGAGAAATAACGATACCAAGGAAATTGCATGAAGAATAAGTTCATAATGTACATGTACATGTAGCTAAACAGTATTTCTGTTGATTTTGTTGGTGTAATGTTATGGTAATAGTCCAGGTACTGGGACATGTACATGCCAGTGTAAAGTGGGTTTTTTCTACTGTTAGTGGCATACCAAGTCCAAATTACAGGGCTAAAGAGGGGAGCCCTCAGTCATGTTCTGGCATACGTGTACATGCGATTTCAAGCAATATACCGGTACACACAAAACTCTCTGAGCGCATTTTTGAAGCTTTGAAGGCGTGCACTGGTACCATATCAGTATCTCTCCAAACAAAATAATGAGACTAATAAAATAAACATTTGCCTATTAGAGGAGATTCTCAAGGCAAAATAAGCGATGAACCGAATAACTAAACAAGGAAACTGCAGTGTGTCATGCACTGGCGTTCAGTGAACCTCAGCTTGTATGGTACACTTGTCATGCTCTCATCAAAATCTGATTAGATACATGTTGTACTGTACCTGTTGATACAAATGCCTCCACTGCATATCAACAGATTCCGACAAGCTTAACTGTAAACAGGGAAAACTGAGAGATCTAAAATGCCAAATTATTTCACATGCAAAATGCCTTTTGGCCACACTTGAGCTGCTGGTGCGACTGTATGCACACACATTTCTTTGACTGATATTGCCATATCATGTACACGCAAACAACTCGGTTTTAAAATCCTATTACAAGTACTTGTAGAAGGCAATAATATTTATTGACAATAGTGTTTGTTTATAATAATAAACAAACACTTGTAAAGCGCCACCTATCTAGAAAACTAATCCGAGGCGCTAGAAAAGAATGTGAAATCAGATTGATGTCACTTGTGAACTACAAAATAAAAATGCTTTAACAGAAAAGTTTTCAAGTTTGATTTAAATGTTTCTTCTGAGATCATTTAATTTTTTTTTATTTTATTTTTATTCTGGTTTATTCAATTTGGAAGGTTGTTCCACAGCACTGGTGCAGCAGATGAAAAGGCCCCTTCTTCCATAGGCAGTCTGTGTTCTCGGAATCTCAAGCAGATTCTTGTGTAATGAGCACAAGTTGCGTTGTGGTGCATAGGGTGTAATGAGGCCACTCAAAATAACTCAATCCTTGAACAATTTTCCAGGTTAACAGGAGAATCTTGAATTCGACCCGCTCCCGGAAAGACAACCAATTTAGATGTTGCAAAACTGGCGAGATGTGGTCAAATTTATTTGATTTTGACAAGACTCGGGCAGCTGCATTTAGAGTGCGCTAGAGTTTGTCAAACTGATAAGATTTAAAAATTCTACCCTGACTGTACATATGTACCTAGTTGTAATTCAGGTACATGTACACGTGCACATGTAAAAACGTGGCACTATCTGCCCCAAAAGGAAATTAAAAACAGCCTCATACATGTACACGCACTAGAGCCAAAAAAAACTCCAGACGGGTCAGGGAAGGTGGTTTTCAACCAAGCTCATGTACGTGTACGTGTAAGTGCCCAGCACACAGGCAAAGACCATACATGTACATGTATACCGCTATGAACATCCAAACAGAAATTGGTAACATTCCGAAGGCAGACTGCATGTGAAAACATACTCTCTCTTGTTCCCGCTCAGTGGGAATACATTTACATGTATGTTGATGACATGATGTGAATGACGTACATGCACATGTATACATGTACATCCGGGAAAACTTACTTGATATTATTAGTCTTACAGCGACTATGGGGAACGATACCACACAAACTGCGAGCACATTTTTAGCCAAACTACGTGTATCTCGTACTGTATTTGTTTAATTTACATATAAATTGTCTTGAATACTGAATACAAATGTAATCACAGATCAAGTCTGAGTATTCCCTGGATTCAACGATACCTTCATTATTTTTCATGAATTGGTTCTGATTTACTTTTTGGCAGCTGTTGATCTTGACCGTACAAGTCTCTTCTTTTAAGGTTTTTGAAGTCTCGCTGCCTACATGCACTGCCAGTGGGCATTATTTTTAAGTGGAGTCAGTCCACAATGTTTGCATATTGAGTGCTGGATTATGCAGTTTAAATTCAAGAAAATAAAACGTACTAAAGTGTGGGTTGAACAGATGGGCCTTTTAGCTATTACAAAATGTTGTCGATGTGTAAATGACTTTCAACACAGAATTAAAGCTACACCACTTCTAGAGGAAATAATTTGTACAGTTAAGCACCTCTGAGTAAAATATTTTACAGATCAAGGTTTGCAAGTTGAAACAATGTCAGCCCTATGCATTAAGTACTGAACACTGCCATACATGTACATGTACATGGTGTACGAGTACCGTACATCGTAATCAGAACAATTAAATTTCTTCCATTTTGGCACATACCTGCAACCTCGCCATCAAAGATGAATACAGGGTACAACTCACTGGCAAGATTAATGGCATCGATAAAGCTAGGGTTGTCATGGAGACGAAGACCATGGCGAAACCAATGAACGGCGATGGTTCCTTTCTTTCTGTCTTCATCTGTGCCCGAGGCTGGTCTAGCAGGCATGTTGATGTTGGCAAACCTGACCACAAAACAGAAAGATGCAACCCAATGTAAAGCACAAACTAGGTACCGGCACTCTGTCTTGTCTTCATTTCAGTGGAAAGAAGGAATCTTAATACTCTGAGGCTTCACAATCAAATCCATTCAAAAAGTATTTGATTCTTAAAGAAGAGAAAAGAGTTTTACATGTGATACCCCAATATTTTATCCACAGGGGCCCAAGATGTGCAGAACTGTAGGAGTAGACAACACTTACGTGTATGTATACATGTAGCCTCTACACACACACACATATTGCTTTTATACATTGTACACAACTTGTACGTACATGTACGGTACTTTTTAAAAATGGTCACAAAAGCAAAATTTAGGCAAACTAACATTGCAAATCTTTTCCCCACTCTCATGAAAATATTAATCTGGATCAAAATGGACAAAACGTCTTTACACGTACAATGTACAGTACATATGATCAATACAAACATAACATTAATTACAAAGGTTCCCAATATACATGTACATGTATCGGAACATGTACTGTAATCAGAACCAGTAAGCCTCTAAGTGTTTGAATTTTTATACATTATTAATTTTGTTCCTTCTTGATCATGGTTTACAGAAACAAACATTAACTTTTTGTCAAACTCCTGTGCAAGGTTCAATCCACAATTACACAGAAGAAAGCAGTCACTTGACTGCTTGCATGGAGAGTTTTTACAATTTGTTATTCGTCTACAAGTACATGTATGTACAAGTACCTTTTAACTACAACTCACATCCATATTCTCCTTAATATTATTTGAGAGGGTTTGGTTTCCAAAGCTTTTGATAGTTCTCTTCTACCTTCAAAGAAGCCTTTAATTTCACAAAATGGTTTTTATATCAAAATGAAAAAAAATTAAGCAAACATTCACATTATTTGATTAAACAAATCAACTAAATACGATCTGTGCACCTACTTGTTGTAAAAGACTGACTTTAAGATTTTAACCAGTAGCACAATGCACTACATGTAGATACCAGTTTTTATTTATCATTAGATAGGTCAGGCAAAATACAAGACAATGAAAAAATAACTATGTGACAATACTGAAATTCAATTTCTTAAAACTGCAAAACATGTACAGTATACTGTACATGTACCCTAGTTACAATGTAACAATATACATTGTAATTTGTATGTATTTAATGATATGAAATGGCCTTGCAAACAGCAGAGCTGTGTGTGCAAATCTGAAGCACATTCTTCATGCAATGTAACCTTCATCAACACAATTTTACATGCAGTGGATCTCTTAAGAATGAACAGATACATTTGTAATACTGACAATAAATGTAGTGTGAAAACTTGTCCAGTTTTTCAGACCTCAGGATTGAAGGTGGAAGGAATTTATTTCCAAGGTGTAATCCTTCAAATGTCATAACTGCTGTATTGTGGGACATGTTTTGAAAACGTAAGGGACACATAGACTGCTACATGTATGTGTATCCAAGGTGTATAAAGCATCATAGCCTGTATGACAACAGTCACAACTTGTTTTGTCTTATCTCTTTCTTGGTTTTTTCACTGTTTTTCTGAGGGAAATTGATCTTTAAACATCAGTGAATAGCGGCCCCTGCATTATCCTGTACATTACGGGGCGTGTGTATGTCTACACATGATATCAGACCACTTGTGGCTTGTGATATCCAACAGTGAATGTAACATGTGGTCATGTCACCCTGTCATGTGATTTTTGGGCCAAAGAAAAAAATTTATTCGAGACAGAGGTAGGAAAAGTGTGTACTTTATTCATTTGAGGCAGAAAAGTGCTCAAAATGTAAAGAAGGGCTTCTTAAAACTAACCTGATGAGGTCGTATTTATTTATATTTATTTATTTATTTAAGTCTTTCTGGTAATGAAACCAAGGATTCCTCAAAAAAGCCCTAGGCACTGTAGCTTGCAAATCTGAAGAAACCTGTAGAGAGGAGACAATGAGAAGCAGTTACAGTTTTAGAGGTGGGAGGAAAACCCCAGAGGAATATTCTGAGGAAAACCCACAGAATCAGGTAGGGACTGAAAACACAATCCACATGTGGACCGGGCCAGGGATCGAATGCGGGACCACAGATGTGGAAGATGAGGAAAGAACCACTATGCCAACCTGACCCCCAAAACCAAGGATTCCTCAAAAGTGCCCTAGTCTTAGATCAGTGAATATTGTATATTCAAAAAAATTCTTGGGTCCTGATTTCAAATCAAAATTTGCTGAGGTGAGTTTTGATTATTGCAAAATTCGGCATTCCTAACACATTACCAGTCAGTCAACGGCAGTTGGTGTGATGAAAATAGTAACCACTCTCACACATGCATCATGTCAATGTACATGTACGTGCGCACTTCACCAAATTAAAAACAAATTGCTAAAAGCAAGTTTATAAAACATGTCTTAAGAGGCACCTCTGGAAATGGTCCTTGTTCATTGCCTTCTTAAAAAATGAGAGCTTACCAGAAAGAATCATTTCACAGGTCATATCGTCCGATAACTACATTATCTTTCAACCAAGTACACTGTATGCTTTTCATCACTCATTTCTAAGTTCCTTTTTGACGGCTGCAAATGACAGATTGTAGTAAGAATTATTTTCATTAAGAAAAAAAAAATACATCCCTAAACAATTCTAATCCTTAAGGCTTTCCTTGGTAAACAACTTGCAATCATAACTTTGAGGTTAGGAACAAGGAACAAAGCAAAACACCATGCATAATGCTTCTTGTCAACAAATCTGCAAAGTTCAGAAACATTCCTAGAGAAGACAGAGAGGGCAGATTCATTCCTATCGCTTCATAATCCACCCACTGACATAAAAAAGAAAATACATTTATTCTGGTAATAATTTCAACGGACTTTCAGCATTTCAATTATGTTACAATGCCATTGAATCACACCTGCATATAATAGCGATGTAATCTCCGACAGCCAGAGTTATGAATGAACTGACTACATGAAAACCTGCTCCATCCATATATTTACAATGTAATTTTTAGCCAGACAAATACACAAATGTAAATTAGTTTTTGGTCTCAAAAGACAAGACAACAACAGCTTGCAATTTCCCAGCCAGACCAGCATTCATTTGAACAAATTGGATATCATTTCAATCTCTTTGGGAAAGAAGCCTACAGATTAGAGTTTTCAATTACTTAACCCTAACAGTCCTCAATCCTTCACCTGTTGGAGGACTGAGGACTGTTAGGCTTAATGGCAGTATACGGGCATAGGTACCTGTACAGAGGGAACAGAGTCCACGGAAAAGCCAACGTCTTACTGGAGACAAGTCGCGTGAACACTCCTGCACTAAGATCTGAAGAAGGTTATGAAGGCAAAGTGAAGGACAGAAACTGGTTGGATGGAAGGCAAGCAGTAAATGCGAACACTCACTGCATCAAGGAAGTACATGTACCGGTATACTGTACATATACATGTACTGTAGAGAGCGAACTGATTTGCCGTGTCTCTCAGCCTCAGCAATCCATCAGAATCACTCCATCAGATCTGATTGGTCAGTTTCCCACTAATATCTACTGCATGCAGTCACAAGAGAGTTGGTTGTACACACAAACACAGTACATGTATGTATGAGATCAGTGGTGTTTCCAAGTTTTCAGTCAAGGGAGGGGGCAAAGTGGGAGTTGTTTTTTGCATAAAGGAATTCCCTCATACACAAACATGGTGTCTGTATGGAGAAACCTCTGTATGCACACGTACAGGTACACTAAGTTAAAGGCTACGGCGTCGGAAGTGTTGCCCCTTTCACTTTCTTTTAAAAAGCCAACAACCAAGGGTAGGGGATATTGAATGTACCAGTACAGATTGTCCATTTGAAATTGTTTCATTTACACATGACTTACATGTATATGGATTTAGGCATGTACGGTAAGATTGACATAGACAATTCCACAAATTAGGGGTCCATTTCTTTTGTGTGTCCCTGTCACATCTGACATATGATTTGGTAAGTACAAAATACATTTTCTAATTTCCAAGAGTGATGAATTAATGCAAATTACCTGCCAAACAATAGTACATGTACTAGTTTAGAATAAATTCCAGTGATATTTCAATGTCAAATAGCAAACATCAGATGTAACAGGGACACAAAAATGTCACACTTTTGGACCCCTAATTTCTGGAATTACCCACATACCGGTATGCATAGTACATGTACTGGTGTATGTATTGGCCTATGATTCCAGTCCAAGGTTGGGCCCTTTCCAATGAACCTGTGCTGTGGTGAAATTGTTTTTGTAATTTTAAACTTTTTTCCAGATTTTTATGTTCACAAAATAGCAGTAAGCACCACACTCAAAAAAGCCAAAATTCTATGAATATCTCATTTGCATGTAAAAGTACCTTCACAAATCACATTTTTACTAAGAAACTTCTGAAATTTTTCTATTTAAGTGTCCATTTACATTGTATGTGCTCCTTGCCCCACAAACTATTTGTGGAGACATAAGTACTCCCTAAACAAAAATTAATAGTAACGACAGTAACAATTTGAGACCTGAAGAGAAAGCCCTAACAATTCTGAGAATAATGCAACTGAATTGACTTTGGCACAACTTCTTCTACATGTACGTGCCAATAAAAACCTCTTCTTAATCTGTGGGGGACATTAGGTCACTTTTTTTTCAAGGAAGAGTTTTTAAAGGGAAATGAAGCAATGTCAAAGTATAAAGAAACAACAAACTTCAGTTCTGAAATGGGGTCAGCTATAAATTTCCATCTAAATGGTACTGTCAACCAAGGAAATGACAATAGACTGGTAAACCAATGCTTTATCTGGTTATGTGGTACCGGTAGAACTACAGATGGTAAATTTCATGATTTAATTTTTTTTCTGATGCTGCCATTGCAATCATCACAAATTCAGTGGGGAAACTAAGTCTGAAAATTGCCTGATGTAATTTTTTTTCCAATTTGTTAGAAAAAACCACCAATTACCAGATTCACTACACTAAAAATAAGAAGGTG